CATTCAGAAGAAAAGAAGATCATTAACAGGTGGTCGGTTCTTCAAGAGATCGCCGGCTCTCCCAATCACTCACAGTATTCTTCACTCAACAAAAGCCCCCCTCCCCCCTCCCCCAAAGCCCCTTCTTATACTCTTCTTACAGCATAACTGACTCCCTCAATAAATGCCCAGCTGGCCAAGTTATAAATGCCCACACTCTTCTTATTCCTAACTGACATAGCTATAAATGCCTCAAGACTCTCCTTATTCCCTCCAACCATAATTGCCCCCATGTTCAATTATTTTCCCCTTTAGCCGAAAGCTGACCTTTCCCCTTCCTGGCATACGTAAAGTTAATTGGGGGCCTATCGGAACATTAAATAGAATTGTAACTGACGACTTGTGGGGTCCAGCTATCACTTGACCGATGTACCCTACTTTCTTTGTATACCAATAAAACTAGATTGCCACCATTCCCTATCCCCAGAAAATGTTATTCTTTAGATTCCCATATCCATGAGTTGTACCTGTCCTACATCAATTAGTATCAGATCTTTCATCCTACACATCACTAGACCAACATAATTCCCCAATAGCTACTGCCCACCTTTATACGTGTCTTATGTTGCTCTTTTATATTAACCAAGAGGAATGAACTGAAGTAACCTATTTTAGAACCTAGACCAATTTTTTTGGTAGTAAATAAAAAAAAAGAAATTTCATTAAGATTGAGAAAAAAAGTACATAGGGGAAGGTGATATCACCCAGAAGGAAAAGAAAATTAAAAAAAAAAAAACAGAAGAAAGAAAAAACAGAATTACGACATATCAATCCCCTTTCCAATTCTAAATAAGACCAAAAATCCAAACCAGAAAAGTCCTTTCAAACCCCCAAGAAATCCAGTAGGATCAATATCCAATCCAAAATTCTGTCCCCAATGACTGAACAAAGTTTTTCCTTGCCTTCTGGAGTTGGGGGAATCTTGAGGAATAAGGAATGGTTGCTATTTTCTGAGGCCCAATAGGGGTGAGAGACTCGTATTAGAGACGAGTTGCTTGCAGTATTACAAAGAATACAAATTGCAAGTGAGTTAAACTTGGAGAAGTTGGTAATTAAAGGGGATTCTAAGGTGGTGGACCTAGTGGTTGGGTGGATAAAGGAACCAGAAGCTGTAATTTGGGGTTACAAAAATGAGATGAAGAAATTTAAATGTCTGACAAGGAACATGACCTTGAGAATCCAGTGGGTGAGGACAGCCAGTGCTTTTGCTCATACTCTAGTTAAGCAAGGGGGTTACTAGGGCACAACTGTATTGGGCACAGTTGTATTTCTTTTTTTTTTTTTTTTTTTTTTTGGGGGGGGGGGGGGGGGTTGCTAATTGAGAGAGGTCGCACCTTGTGTCTCTCTTTGGAAAGATTGTATTGATTATATCCATACTGTTATCATTGTATCTATTCTCACGAATACAATTTCATTTACTTATCAAAAAAACAAAATGTTTCTTCGCTTTTTGACCTGCCATCAAATATTCTCCTGTTTCTTTATTTTTAAACCTCCCAACAAACTGCAAATGGAACACAAGATGCAAAACAGGCCAACAAGAAAATTTTTCTTCGAAACATCTTGGTGACCAAACTTGACAGAAATAAATGCTTATAACTATGGCAAAACTCTGCCAATGTGAGCTTGTCTTACAATGATGATCCCAAGTATAGATAAAGGAGGGCTGCATCAGGTTGGCAGCTGGCACTAAAACTTTCCAAACTCTCACGACATGGATATTGATTTGTATTTTCATGCTAATGGAATGGGCGAAACAGGATCCATGTTGCCAACCATATAGTTGGGGTAAGGCTTGGATGATGATGATTGATTAACCATGGCACCTTTCTACATTAACTGAGGTAGAGGTACAGAAGCTCAAGTACCAACCCAAGTATGTTAATAACAAAACCAACTCATCTGGGACTAAACTAGTATACACCCCTAATTCCTAAAGCATGGCATGGGCATCAGAAAGAGCATTTGAAGATGCACACATGCACTAGCAAAACAATCAAAAAAACAAAGGAGATAAACAGTAGGAAAAGAAATATAAAAAACTAGAGATGTGATGCAGAAGACTCTTTCCCTCCAAGTGCCTCATCAAAAGACTCTTTTCCTCCAAGAGTTGGAGGTTAGCCTTAGATTATGATCGACTTAAACAGTAGTTCTCTTGAAAATCCTGGCCCATCCAGGATTATGGGAGTCTTCACCAATTTGAAGGGGTCCATTATGGTACTTAGCGGTCCCTAGGGGTGATCATAGGCCGGGCCGGGCTGGGCTTTGCACTTATGATAAGGGCTATAGCTTAGGCCCAGGCCCAGCCCGGCCCGGGGTTTCAAGCCTGTAACATAAGCCCTAGCCCAGGTCTACACGGGCCCAGGCCGGGCCGGGCCTGATTCTGGGCCAATGTCTTTCATATATAAAACATTACATATCTATAATATTTTATATTAAATGACATAACATGCATATAAACTTTTATTTTATATATTATATAATATAAAATATTACATATAATATAAATTATACATGTTATGTTATAATATTTATATATAAAATATATAATATAATGTAAAATAACATGTATACATATGTATACATTATACACAAAATGTGTAAGTTTAAATATATGCGGGCCAGGCCAGGCTTGAAATATTAAGCCCAAGCCCGGCCCTAAAATTTGTGGGTCTGATGTGGGCCCAGGCCGGGCTGAAATGATCACCTCTAGTGGTCCCACTGGAGATGCCTATATGGTCAAAGATTAGGTGGTTGCCTTTCTCATGAAGACCTGAATTCATTCCCCACAATTCTGCAATGGATTACTGGAGATCTCAATACTCAGGCCACTAGTTCAGCTAGAAGGGGTTTAAAAAGGGTCTGTTTGCATGGTAACGGTTCTCCTCCTTAAGTTGTTTGTATGAAGATTACACTGCATAGTTCTTAATGTATCCCACTATACATGCACTATTGGCATCCTTTTTTCCCTTTAGAATGAAATAGTTATTTTCTTCCAAAAATAATACTCTTTTACTTTCACAGTATGTTGCAAGTTTACCATTTATAATACACTCCAGTTTTCTTATTTAAAGCATATCACACTTTTACTGTTTAGTAAGTGTTAAGATCTTAGGATCATAAATCATGGTGGAGAGATAATTCTTGCCTTTTTCAGACCTATTGGGGCTGGGAATTTCATTAGAGCAGAGCTGCTGGCTGTTTTGCAAGGGCTGCTACTAGCAATAGTAGCAGGTCACTCAAGGTTATTAGTAGGAGACGGAAAAACAATAATAAACTGATTAAGGGGAGAATTTGAGGGCTTCTGGGTTTTATGGTACATGATAAGAGAAGCTAAACATCTATGTTAGCAAACCCAATAAGATATCTCCTGGTTCCTATGTCAGTTAACTCATTCACAGATTCACTTGCACATGGGGGAATGGTTTGACAGAATTAGATGGGGTGACTACTCTTTGGGGTAAAATCAATATGCATGGGACTTTTAATGGAGCAGGGGTACTAAAATGTATTTTGGGTTTTAATCCCTTTGTTTGCTTTGTAAATGGTATGTACATCTTGTATATCAGTTTGAAACATTAACAAAGTTCTCAATTGTTACTGATCAAAAAATAATGAAAAAAAAAATATCTTAGGTTCAGTTTCTGGAGGCTTTCTATTGTGTTATAGGATTATTTGCTTTCTACTTATTCTGGAAATAACCTGAATGACTTCTAAACTTACTTTTAATCTTCCACAGTTCCACTTAGTAGCATAGATAGGCTTCTTACAAGGGTAATTTGAATTAACTTAGATGTATGAAGTTTCACTAGGACCAGAATGCAAGAAATTTCCCGATGGGTTCATAAATAAGAAGATATTTTATGAAAGTTAAAGGTTCCTCCAACATAATGTGAATTTGGAGTTATGTTACCAGGATACAGAAACATGGCTGGACAAGGTATCAGATATGGAATTTACACTAAAGATTGAAGTATTTGACACAACAAGCTACCATTATGCAGGTATCTGGGTATCATAGATTTGGAGTCTACCTGTTCTGTGAATATCTATTTGGCATGATATGGAGAACCACAGGCCAGGTTTTTTACGTAGTAGTAAGAGCATTTTGGACTGCCCAGACCCAGCCCATCCTCCACCCTGGCCTGGTAATATATGTCTGGGCCAAGGCCAGACATCTGGGCTTGCCCGCATAAATTAATAAAACTTTACAAAAAACTTAAACTTCAAATCCAAGTTTATATTTAAAATTACATAAAATTATATATAATTTTTATACATATATTGATATAAACATATTTACAAATATACTATAAATATTATAATATAATACATATATTATAAATATAAATATATATACATATACGTATTAAACTTCTGGACCAGGTCAGGCTGTTTGGGCCTAGGATTTTAGGTATCAGGCCCAGCTCGCATTATGTGAGGGCTTGATGCAAAGACCAGGCAGAAATGATCAACCCTAGTTTTACTATGGGTGCTAATAAACCAGTAATGAATGATGAAACACAATTCATTGAGGTAACCTACCTACATTATTTTCCTTATTAAATAACAACACAAAAATAATTTATAGAGGGGAAAGGAGATAATGTTTATAAGAATCAGAGATTCAAACTAACATAAAAACAAAGGAACAAGATTACAATGTAAGGAGTAGATCAAGGACCATTCCCTCAGTATGGTCCCTAGACGGTCCCCAGAATATGCCATCAATTTTAACCTAATAAGGCCTGACATACATCAATTCCTTCCAATTATTCCATTGTATTCTACGCAAGCATTAGTTTTAATACAGGCTCATTACAAAGGCTATTTATACAAGCTATAGGCAAAATTGCTAGTATGTTGTTTACTCTAAGAAAATGTTCTACCTAGCATAAAAAGAGAGGCACATTTTCCCATTCATTGTAGGAAAATAGGAAAGATTAAAGAGATAGTCATACCCACAAACTCCACCGGTGCTCATATCAAATCCACCATCTATAAGCTCTCCATCATCCGTATAGGTTGGGTTTGCCATTTCAGCAAGTTGTTGATATGGAAAAACATAAGCCATTGATGTCACAAGGAGGCCAACCCAATGCTTCCATGTGACAGTAGAATAGAAGATCAGCATCCTCACCAGAATGTATATGGCCTGTATAATTTCAACTGAGGATATGGCACCTTATAAATATAAATAAAACCAAAACGAATTTGGTAACCAAAAAGAGATCAGTGTAAGTAATAAAATTAAATTTAAAGTTTCTTTATAGTCCAAATCCGAACCAAGTGATATATGAGTGGCCCAATTCATGCATAGAACAAAATCAATGTAGGAAAAAAAAAAATCAAGTAGTCTCAAAGAACATAAGGCCCAAAAGTAAGCACTTTTAAGTCGACTGAATTCAATCAGAAGAGACTCCATGCAGAAACCAATAAATCAGACTCGATAACTCATTAACAAAGAGCACACAGACTAGGAGGCTGGGAGAGGCACCAACTTAGAGGGCTATAAATTATAAAGGGCCAATAATAGACACTTTTAACATCACAAGAACAGATGAGGCGGCTTATCCTTTTAATTCTAATTCTTGGGGTGCAGACATTCCATCAAATTCATTTGCAATAGACTGTTTCTAGTAAGATATTTATAATAATGCAAGCATGTCATTGTTTTAGTTATGAAAACTATAAATATGTCCTGCTTGTAGAGCTCACTTAATAGTCTAACAATAACATTAGGGATCTAGGCTGGAATAAAATTTCTAACTTGTACACCTGCTCATACAGATACTCCTTTTTATCTCMCCCCCCCCCCCCGAAAAAAATAAAGTAATAAAATAAAATAAAAGGTTTACATGTCCAAATCAATTATAGAAATTGTGCTGGAAGTGATCCACATAAGGGTAATAAATTGGCTGAAATCTTTGGAATTGTTTGCAGACTTTTCAGTAGATGATTTGCTAAGAAACTGGAAAGAAATTGTGAGTTCAGTCCCAGCTAAGATGACCTAAGTCCTTTATGGAATCCTCACCCTCATGGTTTTATCAAGCTGAATTTCGATGGTAGCAGTTTGGGAAATCCAGGGCCCTCTGGAACTAGGAGAGTTCTAAGGAATGAGCAAGGGAATATAATAGCTATGTTTTCTGGCCCAATTGGAATGGGAAACTCTATTATGGCTGAGGCAATGGCAGCTTTGGAAGGGGTAAATAGAGCTAGGAACCTGAATATCAGTAAGCTGGTCATAGTAGGAGATTCTGAGATAGTAGTGGGCTAGTTAAAGGAAGACAGGAATGGGCTCTGGAATTACAGCAACGTAAAGAGAAAGTTTAAGTGGCTGACAAAGAACATTGATGTAAAATGTACTTGGGTAAAGAGAAGTGCAAATTCCCTTGCCAATGGGTTAGCTAGGCAAGGGATGAGTAGGGATTCTGTCTTCTGGGCTCATTTGTAACTTTTTTTCTTTCTTTTTGGGTGTCTATCTGCACCCTTGGGGAGTTAAGATAGTTAATCTCCCCTCCCTTGTATTTTAAGCTTTTATATTAATGAAAATGTTCCTGTTATTGATAAAAAAAACTGCTTCAATTATAGATATATGATGAAGAAAAAATAACATTTTGATCCAGCATCTCTCTACCACTGTTATCTTTATATTCAATCACATCCATGGTTTAAACTGTCTAGATATTTCTTAATTTTTCTATCTCCATCAATACCAACACAAAATATTACTGGATATCACATACACACCTCAATGTGTTAAAATCTTTTATATTATTCTCAACAAGTTTTACTTTGTTGATTATATCAATACAAGGATTTTAATTTACACAGATATATATGATCCAAATAATTGACTTTCAAATAATTTTGTTCTCTTTAAACCCATTATTTTTTGATGCATAGTCTAGACAGCTCTAACCTATAAAGGGACCTTTCCTTGATTATATGTAAATATTCCCTTGTTATTTCCTTTATGAAATATTTTCATTTGTACATAATTTAACAAAATATAGATGATGTTTTAATATTTTGAGCTCTTATGAAATGATAGACAATATAATAATAGCATAAGAAGCATCTTTATATGTAAACTATTACTTTAATACCATACCAAACGTAATAAAATGGTATTTATAGCTAAAATGTCAAAAGCATGTACTATATAATAATGTTAAGCTTTAAATTTATTCTAGGTGGAGGAAGAAGCTATATTGAAATGGTTTAAATTTTTAAAAGTATCACTTTTTTATAAATTGGAACCAAACCTTGATCAATTCCTTCTATCCACACTTGCCCCTATAATATGGTAATACACAGAAAATGGGGAAAATCAACATAAACAAAATGCAGAGGAGACAATAGTGTCAACCTCTTCTAAGATAAATGCTGAATAGAAGTAACATATGAATTTCCAATGCCTCCACCTGACCCGACTAAAGAAAATGCAATTCCCAAACCCACTCCAACCCTATAGGAACCCAATACAGACCCGACCCAACCCAACCAATAAATGACTAATTACAAATTTGAGTCTTTTGATTGCATTTTTATTATGCGTTTTGAAAACCCAAGAGCCATTAAAAGTTTTCTTTGTGGACAATACGTAGGCATTTTAAATTCTATCTCACATAGCCAAAACACTTGGCAGCAATTGCTATTGAGGATGAATTTCCAATTACATGTCAAAAGGGGTAATAAAGTGATTGATTTCTTATTTCTACATATTATGGTCTATGTTTGTGGATTTCTAAAAGTAAATATAAAGGGGTAAAAAGAGGCTTTTCTTCTTACAAGTTGGAGTCTATGTTTGTGTATGTGGGGGTCATGGCCTGGCAGGTCAAAATGGTGATACCTGAACCTGACTCAGGTCGAAGCACTGAAACCCTAACCCAGACCCTACACCTGAACAAACCTGTCCCAAAACCAATCCTATAGAGTTGAACCAAGCTGAGTTTACCATTTGAACCAACCCATTGACAGCCCTAATTAGATACCTCACTAGATCATCTATCCTTTTGAACTGTACTTGACTTTAGGGTGTATACAATGAATGAATTGAAAAGTCTAAGGAGTCTCTATTTCTAAATTTTCATACCATAACACCCCTCTATTTCTGTTCTTTTTATCAGGTACCAAACCATTTTCTCATAGAGTCTCTTACTTCTCCATATTTAGAACAGTATGGATATGTCCTTCAGAACCAGGACAGTTTTATTTTTTATTTTTTTTTTGTATAAGTAATAGAAAAAATTTTATTAATAGTTCAGCACAAACAACTTATACAATGAGCTTCCCGTAAGGAGGCACAAGATGCAGCCTCCCAAATAGCAACATATTACAAATGAGCCCAGAAATACACCCCTTGCTTAGCTAAACAGTCAGTTATCCCATTAGCCTATCTCCTTTACCACTGAATTCTTACTGTCATATTAGAGGTCAACCATTTGAACTTTTTCATAGCTTTCCTGTAGGTCCAAACAACAGCGTCCACATTCCTTATCCACCCAGTTATTAGCTTCAAGTCCCCTTCAATTAGCAACCTATCAATGTTCAACTCTCTAGCAAGTTGTGCCCCGTACAGAACAACTTGATACTCAGCTTGAACCTTGAATAGAGTCCACCAAACCTATAGGACCTGAAAATAAAGCCACTATACCGCCATTTGCATTTCTTAAAACAATCCAAATTCCTAAGGGTCCCAGATTCTCCAAGCTGCTACTATCAAACTTAAGCATAATGAAACCTTCTTCAAGAGGTACCCAATCTACAACTGGCTTTACCTTTATTTTTGAGCTCCTTGCCACATCTCCCCAAATCCTCCAAATATCATCACAAGAAAAAAAGGGAAAAAGCATCCAGAGTTTTAGCCCAATGAATATCTCTACTTAAAATGCAGTCCTAGATAACCTCCTCATTCCTCTCCTTATCGTTGAAAATTCTAGTATCTTTCTCCTCCCACATTGTCCACACCAAAGCAGCCCTGGCACATCTTCACAGGATCCCGCCCCATCTCTTGGGCTATCTGAAGGTTGTAGAATCAAATAGACTACTGATTTGCAAAGGAAAAGACCGCCGACAACCAAACAGCGCAAATAATCTTTCCCATAGGCCTGCAACAATGGGACAAGAGATTAGCATATGGTAACAACTCTCACTGTTAGCTTTGCAAATAATATACCAATTGGGGGAAATACAAAGGAAGGGTCTTCTTTTTTGTAGGTTGTCCAAAGTGTTTAACTTTCCATGACAAACTTCCCAACAAAGAGCTCCAAGCCTCCAACATTGGGTAGAATAGACTTTGACCAAACTTCTTGAAAGAGGAAGACAAGGACAGAAGTATCCAAGCACAGGGAGGAGAAAAAAGAAGCACAAGAGAAGAGACCCTTAGAGTTAGGAGTCCAAACCCGACTACCTGAAAGGGTAGGGTCCAAAAGAAAACAAACAAGGACTTTTAGGAGCAAGGAAATCTGATCAAACTCATGGTCTGTCAAACCTCTTCTCAAGCCTAAATCCCAGCTAACACCAGTCAAGGGGGAGAAAGAAGCAAAACGCTGTATAGGTTCATTTTTAGAAATAGAGAGAGTATAAAGAGGGAAATAGGTACTTGAGAGTAGAGCTACCAACACAAAGATCTTCCTAAAACAAAGCCTTGTCACAGGTACATGTATCATGCCTTATTAGGCTTAAGGACTAGGGCAGAATACTATGCTTGGCTTTCCAGGGAGAAGCTAAAGTAGCCCGTTGAGATACACCCACATTCCAACCATTGCCAGCTTGCCCGTGAATACTTTCCACCACCTCATGCCAAAGTCTCTCCCTCTCCAATGACCACCTCCACAGTCACTTATCCAACAAAGCTGTAATTTTCTTTCCTTTTTTTTTTTTTGAAAGGTAAGGTAAGAATTTATTGAATAAGAAAGAGAAGGGTACAACAACTTCCCGGTACAACTCAGATAAAGAGGAGAAAACTCATTACAGACTCCAAACTGACTGAGAGTGAAGCATCTGAAAAATATTTTGATGCTTAAACTCAGGTCTAACTGACAACCAAGATGCAACCTTACAAACAGAATTCTGTATCAAGTCATCTATACTTTTTGTTCTGTTACAGAAAATGCAACTATTCCTCTCAGATCAAATGATCACAAGAATAGCCATAGGTATGGAGCTCCAGATCAGCTTCCCCTTTCTCTTAAGGCCAATCAGCTTCCAGCAGTTGAACAGGTCCTTCACAGAACTAGGCATAATCTTCTTTCCTAAGTTACATATTCCCAATCCCCCTTTCTCCTTACTCTTACAAACAACTTCCCATTTAATCAAATGACCCTTCCTTCCTTCCCCAAGATCCCATGAGAAATCCCTCATGATTTTTTCTACCTTCAACACCACCCTCTATGGCATCCTAAAGGTTGACAAGTAATAAACTACCAGGTTAGCTACGGTAGATTTTATCAAAGTAATTCTTCCTCCCAAAGAGATAATTTCTCTTCCACATTACCAACATCTTAGCATAACTTTCTACAATTAGGCCCCAAGAAGCTTGCAACTACCAACAACTCCTCATTTAGATTAATTCCAGCCATTCCACTCTTCTTAAAATTCATCTTTAACTTCAGGAGAGAGTCAAATAACTCCACTACGCACCTTAGGTTTCTATCCATTTGAAGATCCCTAATCCTCACTTTCACAAAAAATGATTGTATCATCTGCATTGTAGATGTGTTACTATTAAGTCATCCCTTCCAATCCTCCACCCTCTAAAGATGTTCATTTTATCCTATCTGCTTTGGTTAACAACCTATTGAACACATCCACTACCAAGGTAAACAAAAAAAAGAGAGAGAGGGTCCCCTTGTCTTAGTCCTCTTCTAGCCAAGATGAAATCCTTAACCACACTATTTATTAAAACCAAATAATGACAATTCTTAAGGCAATCTTCAATCCAACCACACCACCTATCCCCAAAACCATAGCATCTCAAGATCTCAAGAAGGAATTTCCAATCCACCAAATCATAAGCTTTTTCAAGATCCAACTTACACACAAAGCCTTTCTTCCTCCTCCTTTTCAAGTCCACACACTCATTAGAAATCAGTATTTGACTAGTAATATGTTTCTGCCTTGAACGAAGGCCCCTTGGAATTAGCTAATCAAATTAGGGAGGGTTGTTCTCAATCTTAATGGCAACACTTTTTCCAAGATTTTATAGATGCTAGTCACCAAGCTAATGGGTCTAAAATCTTTAGGTTGAATAGCATCCCCCATCTTAAGTATCAAGGCTAAAAAAGTAGCATTTATACTTGGGTTGATAAAGTGTTCTTTGGAAAACTCCTCAAAGACAACCAGAGATCCTCCTTAATAATCTCCCAACATCATGATAAAATCCATTATAAAAGCATCAGGGCCTGAAGTTTTAGATCTGTCCATGGAAAACACAGCCCTCTTGATTTCCTCCAAATCAAGGACAATTTCAAATGCCCTTTTGCAGTTTTTGAGCTTGTGCAGTAGTAGGATTATAAATTTATAATCTGGTTAGTTTTGAAACAAATCCAACACATCTTTGGGAAGGCTGTATTGTAATATCCTATTGTTTTTTTGAATAAAATTTTAACCATTTATCAAAAAAAAAAATCCAACACATCTGATTTCAATACAATTATCAAAAACCAAATCCAATCTTCAATCAAATCTAAGGATCTTGGATCAGATTCAAAACCTATTGGATTTTTTTGGTTTTGGATTTTCAGATTTAATCCATGTCTAGAGACTTGACTCTAAGCAAGACACCCCCAAATCACCCTATGGCATATGCTAAAGGTGTTAATGCCTCTAAGGCATACACCTCATATGCCTTTTGCATGAAGCATGCTAGAGGTGTACACCTCAGACAAAAAGACAAAAAAAAAAAAAAAAGAAAAAAGGGAAAGGAAAAGAAAAGGAAGGGAAAGTGGGGGCTTCGCTCAGTTTCCTCTACTTCAACAAGACCCCCCCCCTGCAGCTAGTGTTATGCAACTTCATTCTTCTTAATACAAGATATCTTTTATTAAAAAATAAAAAAGATGAAGTCCCCCATCCTCTTCTTCCTCCTCCCCCTCCTCCCCCTCCTCCTTCCTCTTCATTCCCCTCCTCTTAAGGAGACTTGTGCTTCCTTGTTTTCAAGAGGCTTATGCATCTTACATTCTGAACTACACCTCGTGCTTCCATGTAGTGGTATGCCTCTCCTCATGCCTCCGCATTTTAAAACATTGATTTCACCATCTTTAAAATAAAGAAAAAACTAAAATTTGTAAAATATAAACCATTCCTTAACTATTTTAGATAAATGATTAAACAATTTGAGTTATTGTAGGGGAAGATACCCTCAAAAGCATGTAAAAATGTGGGTATAGACTATAGAGATATATAGTCTGAAAATCATGTATAAAAAAGAAGGATCAATGCACACAAAAGGCAAGAAAAAAAAAAGAATAAATAACACCCTCAACCCGACTCAAAAACAGTAGTGGTCCACTAAGATCTGAGTTGCCCAAGATTAACTCCATCAAAAGGCTTCAAGATGCCACAATGGATAAGCTACCACTTAATTATGCCAGCCACGGCCTCAACTATGGATGCCTTAGACTCAAATATCCAATGGTTGCATACTTTACTAACTAATCCCTAATATGCAATATACGACATACATGCATGTGCTCACATCCATACGAACTCTGACTCCATTGGATTAATAATGTATCTAAGAAGTCAATCCCCACCATACACGTATCAGCACAATGATCGCTTTATAACTTCCAAAGTGAAATCAACTAAAATTTTGAACTTAATATAGCCTTTCTGTGTTACCTTTTTTCTTTTCTGACTTTTTTTTTGTACTTAACAATTACATTGTGAAACTCAATGAACTGTTTTATTAAAAGGATGGGGAAACAGGCATTGTAGTATTGAACTTTTTCTCGCTCAGAAGTCAGAACTAGAACGAAAATGCATTTGAAAATTTTCTATTACTAAGCCATATCCCATATAAGTCAGACTTATTTATTTGATAACAAGGAGATCCTCTACTGTAGCCGGGATTAGCTCGAGCATTTAGAAATAGAAACTAATAATTCAAGCACTTTCATACTGGAGATAAAAGAAGCTAAACTGTCTATCTTATAAAAATATCTGCAGGGCATAGTGGGACATGCTGCATACATTCAGTGGATTATAACCATAATCTGATTGGTTCCACCAAGGAGAACAACAATAAAATCAAACCCAATTGTCTATTGTCTTCATATTGGATAATATCTCCAAAGAGGAAAAACTGAATGACGCTTGGACCCTCGAATAAGCCTAGAATTGAAATTTTGAAATCATCCAACCGTGTCAATTGGATCCTCCGAGGTAAGGAATCAACAAAAATTAAAGAAAGTTGGAAAAAAGATCAAAAAAAAAAAAGCTGAAACTGACAATGAAATGAATATAGTGTTTGGATCTGAAATCAGTAAGTACAAAAAGAACTCGGAGAGAGAGACGAGATTGTAAGGGTTGGATTATGTACGTTACAGACGATGATGAGGCGAAGGAGCCTGGCCATGTGGCGAGTGTTCTCCTCCTTGCGCTTCTTCGCTCCCTGGTTTGCCATTTCGCTCCCTCCGCCCAACTGCGCTCAAGCCCTTTGAACAACTCTGAACGAGGAAGATATTAAGATTAAAGATCTCCACTATGTAGCATTCTAGTGTCAACTGTCAAAATGCAAGTGTCGACGCATTCATCGAGTTCAGGTTCGGCCCGGTTTTGAACCAAACTCGACCGGGGGAATGTGTCGTTGAATAAGGGACAAGGCAGGGATAAGATTTACATATAATTCTCGAGCACGATAGTAAATTAGTAAAATATTTATAGATTTAATATTTATTTTTAAAAATATTTTTAAGCTTTTTCTAAATTCTTAAAATCTTAATGTCCTAACAATTTCATTTCTAAAGTACTACAAATTGTCATAATTCAATTTCTAAAATATTCCTAAATTCTCATAATCCTATTAGTAAAATATCTATAAATTAGATTATTTTTAGGTGATTGTCTTGACGCAAGAAAAATTTGAGGATTTTCTATCCCCGATAGGGAGTAGGTGCCCCACCCCACCACCGGAAATGGAACAAAGCATCATGACTATGGGTGGGGACAGGGAGGGGGTACCCCCCTGTTGCCATTCCTAAGTCCAACTTCGTTAAACTAAAGATATGGTGAGGCATAAAATAGTGGAAATACCCATATTTTGATTCCCTTTTTTCACTATTCATCTTTGTTTACCTTTATACTTTAAAAACACAAACCAGTGACAGCGCTTTCATAATTTATGGCCAAAGCACACCTAAGTTGAGCCCTTATCAACTCTAGTTTGCATCCAAAGTCTAAAGGTAGAAGAAGATGAATGATGAAAAACAGAATATCAAAATACAACATTTTCTAATTACCCCTCACCATATTTGTGGAATTTCAAATACTATAGTGGAATATTTGAAAGTTAAGGCCTTAGAATGAAACTATGGTACTTATTTGCAATTTACACTTTTTTTTGGTAAAACTCCATCCACTTACCCAATGGGGGTGTTCCCCTTGATTATAACACTCCCATAGTTTGCAACCAATTTAATTAACCTTGATTAAGAATCGTTTGTATTATTGGAAGTGGCAGAGCAAATAATACAATTTGTACATGCAATCCTCACCATTGCAATGAAATGAGGGGACAACTATTTATAAGTAACATCAAGGGTAAAATGAGAATTATCAAAATTATTTTACACTACAACATAATTTATTGCCAATCAATCGCCAACATATAAATGAGTGAGATTAAGCAATGAAGAAATGATCTTCACTGATTCATTGCCTACCAATTTTCACTACCTTTAATATAATGGATTTTGTGGTTTTAAACCCATTGAGCAAGTTTTGTAAATTGGTGGGTGTAACGTCACCCAATATTCTCTCATTCCAAGATCATTTTCTCTTTAAAGTGTGAAAAACACTCTCAAAGAACAATTGCCAACCGTCAATCACCATTTGTCAAGTGACTTTAAGCCCTAGATAAATCCTACACCAAACAAACTTCTCCCTTGTTATAGGCTTCATCATTGCAATCCAATGATCTTTCCATACATTTATCATAAACCTAATTACATGGCAAATATAAGGCTCCCTATTATTGATAAATATGATGTATGAAACATTTCTGCATTTTCCACTTTGATGCCAAGAGATTAATTTGAAGACAATTTGCAATGTCTAGTGCACACCATGGTGTACATTTTGAATACACCTAGATATAGTGAATTGTACAAGAAAATCAAATTTTGATTCTGAACCAATTTTACATACATTGTATCGATCAATATGAATCTAACCATATTATGATCCATTAGATCAATTCCCCTCCCTTTGAGAATGTGCAATTCAAGCCTATGGAAGAGTGGGCTCTATGTATAATGAGTGCCCGTAGGCTTGCATGTATAATTTTCCTCCTATAACCCACTAACCTTATTAATTGAGTCTATAGTATAGCACCATAGACTCTATCTCTATAGGAGCCAAAGCCACATCAAATGTACTTTGAATCTCCTACCCACAAATTCTTCCCACGTCTCTACTCACAATACATTATCATTGTGTATTGGAAATATTTCCCCATAAATGACATGGGAGATATTCCCAATGTATGGTTGTAATGTCCTACAGTTAGAGTTGTTGGAAGAATCCATGGGTAGAAAATCCGAACTCATGTACCAAGAAAAAATATATTATGCAAGTAACATTGCCTACCTGACCATATTAGGTTACCTTTTGCCATAAAGTCAAGGTAACAACTTATTTACATGATCTATATCTTATTTCTAGGACCTATGATAAATGTGGCTAATTGAAATTGTCCATTGGATTAGACACTATTTGGGTTGGCCACAGTTTTCTCATATAGTCACATAAGCATGTATTGCACCTTGTGTCAACAATTTTCTCTAAATATTATTAAGAGTCGTTAAAGGTTTAAATTTTAATTTAAAGCTTTTCCCAAAGATTGACTAGTTTGGTGAATTTTCAAGGGATTCTAAATTGAAATTTGCCTTCGTGTAGATGATACAAGAAACACATAGTCCTATTAGAACCCAAAGAATTTTTTTACATGAAAGATTCTTAGATAGATTAAATTTCTTATCAGAAACACATAAAGATTTATAAAGGTTCGGCCAAAACTAGATTATGTTGTCTCCTTAGGCAATCTCATGAGAATTTCCACTGAATCAATCGGACTTCCAAGTGTCAACAAAACCTTACAACAGTTGAACTTCTTTGTACCAACAAGACTTTACATAATTGGACTTACATATGCTAAGAAGACCTGAACTAGTTGGACTTATGGATGCCAACAAGATCTAAATGGTTGAGCTTCCTAATGTTAACCAAATTTAAGCAATTTGATGTATGGAAGCCAACAAAAACTTTTTATACACCCTATTATAGCAAGATATAAACAATAAAGCACAAATAATATAAATGCCTCTTGAAAGGCTAATAAACTAATACAAACAAAACTAATTAAATGAAAAAGTATGCCCAAAGATTATAAGCTTGGTCATTTGAAGTGATTGGGGAAATCTTTAAGAAATGAATAAGATCAAAGGCTCTACAAGCTTTCTCACTTGTATGAACTTGTTAAGCTCAAAAATCTTTTCTTTTTTCAAACACTCTTTCTCAAAATGCTCTATTTTTTCTTTGCTATTTTTTCACATAGCTTGGGGTTTTCAGTTCAAAAACCATTGATTTATAATGCTTAAGAGCATATGATTATTATAGATCCAATGGAAATGGATTAAACCAAACCTAGAAATGTTTAAAACAAGTTCTCAACAAAATTGAAAGCTTACTGGAAGTGGAAAGAGTCATTTTACCTTCAAACGGTTTGATTTTTAGCCAAGTATTAGACTATCATGACTTAATAGTCAACTATTATGCATAAAGAGTGTTGACCCTATATGTTTTTAATGATAACAAACTCATTGAGAGTTCTAATGTTGTACTATGCTTGTAATTGATTCAAGTTCACTTCATTGAGCTATAATTTGTTAAACACAAAATGAAAATGAAAATCGGAAGAATTGCTTATAACCAGTTGCACATAATCATTATCATCTCTCCAAGGAAGAAGGAATCTTTAAGAAAGAAAAAATCCAAGAATTAAGTACACAAAGAAGTAACCAAAGAAAGTTTGCTACATCAACTTAAGAAGAAGAAGCATCAAGTCCCATTAGTGTAAAGTGTCTTATGTTTTGGTTCTTAATGTAATTATTTGCTAGAGATGCACAACACATTGAACTCAACAAGACCAAACTTGCTAAACCAATGTTTGAGACTAATAGTTAGAATAGGTTTGGTACTTGGGCTTGTTGACTATCCAATTTTCTATAGGCGATTATCCGTGATAGCCAAAAGTAGTGCCAAATTATTGTCTACTACCCATTTTTATATAGCCAATTACCCTTGATAATTGAGGCATGAAAATTCCTATACATTGTTTAATAATTAACTATCCATTTTTCTATAATTGATTACCCTTCTTAATTGAGACACTAAACTTAAACTAGTTAACTACCTAGAGGAAGTAGTCAACTAGGGGAGAAAAAATATTCCTCCCTTCAACTTGTAGTCAGTTGCTAACTTATTACAATTGACTACGTCAATTAAAATTTGATCGTTGGGAGACATAATGACTATTTGGTATGCCTTGTAAAGTGTTGGGAACAAGCTTTGGACCTTTCCTTGAATAAAACTGAACATTCCTAATGACTAGAAAATGGCTACTTTCTCTCAACCACTATAAATAAGTAATTTTAGCTTGAAATCAAATAAGAAAAATTAGGAGTTTTAATTATATATACTGTACAAATTTTAAAAGAAAGTTTCTATAAGAGTTTTTGCATTCTTAAAGAGATTTTTGAGCTTTATTAGTTCTAATGAACTAAGTAGTAGGTTTATTTTTTTCTCATTGAACTATTTTGGGTCTCTTCATTGAATTGAGTTTCTATATGTTGAATTATCTCTTGCATCTAAATAGTTTGATCTATAAATGTCTTATTTACCTATTTGAGGAGCATTTATTGTATTTGTGCTTCATTATAATATATATTATAATAAATGGAGTTTAAATGTTAAAACACTGGAAGAGATTTGATTGAGACCTAAAAGACCAATCAGGGTTTAGTAGAGACCTGCAAGATCTACTTAGGTTGGGCAGGCACTTACAAGTTTTTCCTAGTTAAGGTGAAACTTGTAAGTATATCCAAGGTATTGTAGGCACCTAGAAGTCCTACTAATTGTAAACCCTTACTAGCACCTGGTAAGATCAGTTGTTGTTAGTGAAAATTCTCAAGAGGTTGCTTAAGGAGAGGACGTAGGTCAAGGTTGGCCAAACATCTATAAAAATATTGTGTGCATTGCCTATCTTCTCTTCTTTGTGCTTTTATTTGTTTTTGCTTTAAGTTTCTATAGTTATTTACTTTCTTTTTTCATTTACATTTCATTAACTACTTTACTTTGCACATTGAATACACTTACTATTGTTATTCATTTTATTTGTTTACTCATTTTATATAATTGCATATTCCAGCATTTGCATACATAGGGTCCTTACTTTGTTACATTTGGTTTCTATCTATTCA